ACAGCTCTGGGTGTTGTTCGTAAACTGTCACAAGCAACAACTAAATGTCGGAAAGCCTGTTAAAGCCCCTCACTGCGGGGATGTTCATTTTCCCATTAATGATTTCTGACGATTCACATGGCAACTATGAAGTGATCGTGAGTCGTTCAGTAGTGGGCAAAAAGATTGATTTTGGCTTCCAGGAGTTTGAAAAAATGACATTGTAGCTGCACAGGAGACAAGACTGCTTGTCAAAACATTTGCTCTGACACCATATGTTAACAGATTTCTCATGTTTTCAAGTTTCCATCTTTTAAGGGTCAGTTTGGTCCAGCTGCACCAATCGCTACAGGTTCACAGGTGTGCACGAGAAGTTCAGAGATCGTGCAGCAGGAGTTCAGCAGTGCTGCATCACAAGTGAATGACAAGTTGCCGACAAGGTGGAATCCTTATTTTTGTTCGCTTAATTAAATGAGATGCGAACATCTTGGCAAAACACGTCAAATTTGTAGAGGTGGGTACAGTACCTACGTCTAATGTTATGTTGTTTGTTAAGCTGTGCATGCGGCTGCACCAAACCAGCGCCGTCAGAGCAGAATGTACAGGAAAGTCATGAACGAGTTTTGGTGCTGTACCTCTGCTGTGCCTTTTGAATTGAATTGCATGGTTTACAAGATGCCATTGCTGCGCCACTGAAATGAATGGTGAGGTGCAGCACTTCTTAAAATGGATCATGTGGTGCAGGCGAATCGAACAAACCCTTAAGCACACAATCGTCTTAGCGTTTCACCCCCATAGAAATATGGCCACTGTGGATGGGATCAAACATTGTGTTGTTGATGAGCTCAGCAGTGCCACAAAATCTAACTATAGTGTTACAGTTTCAACATTATTGAAGTGTAGATTCCATGCCACGGTAGACAGCCAATGCTTGTGGCCAATCTAAAGCACTCCTCCACAATAAGCGTGGTAAAAAATTCACAAATACAGCATTGCATGTGTGAGGTTCGAGATGACCTATTGTAGTGGACATTCAGATGTTTCAACGAGCTTGCAGAGTGGACATTCGGGGGTAGTCATCTTGTCATTGCATGGCAGTCTAGAAAAACAAGTAATATCACCAGATAATAATGCATGAAATCAATGCATAATCAATGCATGAAGTTTTCCAATGTAAACAAATAAACTCAGTTAACTAGTAAACAGCAGTATTTTATACATATATGTAATGGTACCTCAAAACACGTGTATCACTCAGGGCTGCTTCTTCACAAGGCATGTCATGTAGCAGGTACCTTGCCCATTGTACGCAGCTGCTTCCATGTCAGGTGGGCCAGGAGGCTGTGGCAGTAAAAGAAGTACTTCTCATTTATGTGACGCTTTCTTTGTCACACTATAGCAAAACAACACCCATAAATATGTGGTGTTTCTCAAACGCGACTGCGGTAAACTATTAACTAGTAGGTTTTTTGCACTAATATATGGGCTAGCTACGAAGACACATGTGAGGCGAGAGTGATTTATTTGCCTTCTTTCATCGCAACGACCTGGTTGGCGTTACCTGGTGATAGAATTTCAGAATTAACTATTGAATCAGTGACTCGTTCCCACATGAAGCCACGCCGCAAGTAACGCACGTTTTTTTTTCGGTTACAGATTGAGACGTTAAACAATTTTGAAATTTAATATTGCAGTGCTTTGCCACCGTGTGAGGCCTACGCTGTCATTGACAAAAAAAAAACTGCATATGTTGAAATGAACCAACTAGCCCCACAAGCGACCGTTTTTTTTAAAAAAAAACAGAAGTGGTTTCTACTCACCGGTTTGGGCTTGCAACGGGCGTTCATCTGATGAAAGCTTCAACGGTCACTTCGTTCCCCGAAAGTCACTCGAATTCCCTTCACGCAAGAATTTGAACGAGACAAAATAAACAGAACGAGAAAAAGTGTGTTGGTCGGCAGCGGCTCGAAATATTTAGAGCGAAATGAAACAGTCTGAGACACATCCGAATGTATTGCGAGCCGTCACCTGCCGTCGCAACCAATGACCGCCGCAAACTTTGAAATGAGGATAAAGATGCCAATAGGCTGCTGCTGACTTCGAGTTAGCTGATGCAAAAACTATTACAAAAAATTGATGAAGCAGCACATGTTTCAGAAAAACTACTTGCTAGAAGAACAAGTTGTTTTTTATGTGTCGCTGCAGGCAAAGATGTAGTATTTGATCATTCCAAAATTAAATAAAACTTGGCCCCGACGAGGGCACCCCTACAAGGAAGTGCATTAGCGCAGGTGGCGAGAGAGGTTAGTAGATCCACTCTGGGGGTTTGAAGCAAAAACGTGCCACGGTTGATTTTTTCGTCCCCTGCAGGTGATCACTTGAAGTTGAGAGTTTCCGGGACCTGGAGAGATCTCTCCAGGACGACTGAGGATGAGCACGCATCTTTTTTCCGTCCGTCGACTCCCATCGTTTGGGGCTCGTTGGATTTCGCCAACGGCGCTTGGCGCCCGCGGCGAACGCTCACCTTTTGTTGCCCCTTGCGAACGTTAGGGCGAAGAGCTATGTGGTGTGCTAGTGCGTGGTCAAACTGTGCCGACCTCTCCGATGCCAACGCGAGCGTCTTTAACCTCGCTCGAGCAACCGGGCCTTTGTCCCGGTGTCTCCGTGAATCACTTTCACGACGGAGACGTGCTCGCGGCGCCCCTGTGTAGTACTTCTCGTCCGGGGCGTGGATAAGCCCGTCTGCTTTCCCGCCGCGCCTTTGCAACGGGCTGTAATACGTTTTTGCTGTTGCTGCAGCCAATAAACTGTTGCGACCTTGAGCAGTACCGTGTTCTCGCCACGGCGATGGTTAACGTGCGCCCTGCAGCTCGCTAAGACCGGACTCACGCTAGTGGCCGTACTCCTTCGGAATACGTGCACGCTACAGTGGTACCCATGTGATACGCGAGGAATAAGAAAGGGAGGGGGGGGGGGTGAATGCATGCTAAAGCAGGGTATAAAAACACATTACAACAGATATTTCTTGTATATGGGCCTTTCAAAACTATGTGCCCTAATTTTGTCCCGTGAATCACCATCCCGGTGTCACGAAGAGCGCCGAAAGAATGAGAAACGTCAAGAAAAAACAACACGCTTTATAATATATCTTTAAAAGCTGTATTAAGACTTTACATCGACAGGGCATACAAACGCGAACCGGGGAGAGTGGTCAAGACACAGAAAACACTGCTCTGAAAAATTTTACAGCTGCAGAAGTTTAGATAAAGTGATGCATTTTACCCCGAGATTCTGAGTTTTGGTTAAACAAACGAAGGCGCGGCGTAATTATTGCGCGGCGGCGGCATGGTCTCTCCAGGAACTTTCGAGGCGGTGATACGGCGTGGTGGCACACAGCTCAAATGTAAAGCAAACCAAACGGCCGCGAGTGCACTATATGTGCGTGGAATGTAGTCATAACTTACATGACACGCATGTCATGACTTTCACGTTAGGGCGTGTCACTTATGTTCACCATGTAGTCATGCCATACCATACCTTTTTTGCAACGTCATGAGAATGAAGCGACCGCTAGAGCAAGAAGACCATGAAATTTCAATTATTACATTCATGGCATATATTTCATAATTTTCAAGCTATGACTAGTCCCTTATGCCCGTCATTCAGTCATGTTGTGCCATACTAGTTTTGGTATTGAAACGTTTATTGTAACGGCTAGAAGAGGGAAAAGTTGTAGGCGGACGGACGGACGGACAGACAGACAGACAGACAGACAGACAGACAGACAGACAGACAGACAGACAGACAGACAGACAGACAGACAGACAAACAGAGAGACAGACAGATAGATAGATAGATAGATAGATAGATAGATAGATAGATAGATAGATAGATAGATAGATAGATAGATAGATAGATAGATAGATAGATAGATAGACAGACAGACAGACAGACAGACAGACAGACAGACAGACAGATAGACAGACAGATAGATAGACAGACAGACAGACAGACAGACAGACAGACAGACAGACAGACAGATAGATAGATAGATAGATAGATAGATAGATAGATAGATAGATAGATAGATAGATAGATAGATAGATAGATAGATAGATAGATAGATAGATAGATAGATAGATAGATAGATAGATAGATAGATAGATAGATAGATAGATAGATAGATAGATAGATAGATAGATAGATAGATAGATAGTCAAAATCGCCGAAGTTCTCTAAGAAATGCTACGAATTTAAAACGCGATGGAGCTCATTCGCTCGCTGCGCTGGCGCGAGTTGAACTTGTCTTTCAAGACAGCCGCGATTCGTTTACTTCACTTTCATGGTGGCCTGCAGCCGATAAAACTCATTTTCGTGATAGCTGACAGGACTGAGCAGTGCAGTGCAGCGTCGTCAAAAGGCGATTGGCACGCAGTTACATTCCCCTTTGGTCCCTTCATTATCTGGCGTTTGGGCACGTCATGCACTGTCACCCATTTACACCTTGTTGGACCAACAGATTGTCCATCGGTTTAATGACGGCAGTTAGTCCAACCTTAACTAATTTTGGCTTAGAGAGTAGAATAATAAATGCTGCCACCCAGTGAAGGCAGACAAGAAGTAGAAAAACGATTCGAACGTGGCGTTACGATGGCTCCTGACTCCGTTCTTTCGTAATGTCTAGTGCCCTAGCGTATGCACTAATCGCAAGCGAGCTCCTGCTTCTCCTCGAGTGTTCCTTTTTTGCAAGGGCAAACGATACCTGCCACGTAAGAGCAACTTTCACCGGGGCTTGGCTGGCGTGTTTAGAGAAGGAAAAGGCGTGAAAGGCGCACCATTCCACTGAAACTTTCAGGTCTGCCACTGAGAATGATTACAAAGCGGACACCGATGTCCTTATGCGCCTGGAATGGGCTAGCGAACCACCACACGTTACGTGTGAGTAAACAGCTTGCAATGATCAACTTTGGGTCCGAGTCGAAGTACCTTGCTAAAAGCTGGCACCTTCTCTGTTTTCTCACCTCCATCACCCTGGTAGAGACACAATGCTGTCGCAGGACCAGACACTTCGATTTCCATCTGGCATTGGGAATCCTGAAAAAGAAATAGTGAGAAAGCAAAACAAATCTTGAACAAATATGAGAAAATCTCCAAGGCCTTCGATGCAATTCTTACGATAGAATTAAGCAAACGTGGTGTATTAGAACCTGCAGGTTTGTAAGCTGTATTGCAATTACACAGTTGTCTCTGCAAGCGGGGTCTACTTTGTCGGAAATTTCCGCACGCTGCCCTGCCTTCAAAGCAGAAGCAAGGTGAGTATTTTTTTTCTGTTTATTCGCAGCAACAGACGAGTCATTGCTAATATATTAAACCTTTTCAAAATATTCAATTGCTATGTTCTCACAATGAGCAAAATAAACAGTAATTTTGTGACTGTATCAGAAGCAGTCGAGGGGAGCAGCCTATACCGTATTTTATTTGAGGGGTGAAGCACCTAAAAGCCCCACAACGTCCGTGTGTGAGTAGCCATCGTATACAGCAGATACAGTAGAATTTTCTCTTGGGAGGTGGAAACAAGTGTTGCATCACGAGCTTAGGTGGGGGCAAATGTTGGTGAGCGAGGCAAGTGTCGCTTTTGCACCCCCTGCTGACGCCCATCAAAGCAGATGCATCGCTTGTGTATGTGAAGAACGCGAAACATCAGTAATAATCAAAAACATAAGCCAAAAACTGCTGGTCACAACAAACAATCTGAGAGGCCACAACACCGTAAGAACAATGGCATATGACCGCCCATAAAACGAATATAGAAGCTAAGGCTTTGCAGAAGAAAACGAAGGGCTGTTAAGCAGAACAAAATAGAAGGTCGCCACACCAAAAGCATCAACAAGACATGGTGGAAGCTTCCCGGCCAGGTTTTCAGGTGTCGCCGCCATCAATACGATGACCGAATGAAAGCGTCTAGTAAGCGTCTAGTAAGCCACTGCTCCCAGCAGTAAAGCAGCAAAACCGCGACAACGACCCCTACATAAGGGCTGGAGAAGCGTAAGCCAAACGGCAATGACGTTTCAATATTAATTTAACAAATAATTCCCGATCCGGTGCACATTGCTTCGTCCCATCACTTCGCGGATACGCGTGTTTTCTCTTCGAGGCATGTGATCGACGTTCTTGATCAAATCGAGTAGAGACGCATGTATCGCAGGTGTGCCTGGAAAGACGCCTGCACTAGTCACGGACTTCGTCACTCGAGTAGGAACGTCTATTTTGTCGCTATCAAATGAACGAAATAGCGTGCTAAAGATTAAATCAGAATGACCGGTTGTCAGCGTGTTTGAAAAATGCGTGATTACAATTTGCACAGTCATGTGTACATGTGTACATCCTATGACATTACTATCGTAGACTAACGCCGCAGGAGCGAAGGGAAGAGACAACCGAATCACAATCGACGCCACCAGGGAACGCTTGCCTTGGCTTCACGATTCACGGAGTCGGAGCGATTAGGCTATATAAAGGGAAAAAAAGATAAATCTAGCAGTTATTTCACTAAGTATTACGGCTAGGTGGCGTTAGCCGCCGCCCGATCTAAAGGGTACAGCCACATCCATCTATTCATCCATCGAGCCACAGCCGAGCGCCGTCCTTGATTTTCTCTGAGAGCGCGCGCTCGCGCTATGCTCTGTACATGCGGATAGCCAAGGCTATAAACTCGTTCACGAAGCAGCACAGGCGTGGCTTTATGGTAGAATGCTTCGCTGCAATTGAGGGAAATGAACTTATTTGATTCCATGAGAAGGCATACGCGTGAAAAGATCGGAATTAGGGGCGCCTTGCTTGGAAAGCAATGCGAAAAAGGCGCAGAAAAGGAGTGCTGCGTGCAGATGAGATGACGGAGTTTGCGAATATAAGGCGGAAGCATGCAACAAACGCAGAATCAAGTTGATTGGTGATACATGGGAGAGGTCTTTCAACTACAGTGGTCGTATTCACGCTCATGATGATGATTACGTGACTGCCCTGCATGATGCCTACGTTTCATTATGCATCATGGCGTAATTGCTAGTGTGGCCGTTGTTTAAGCCCAGCGTAACGTGTCTGTCGAAGACAAAATCTCCGCAGAGTGGTGACGTCACCTTATGTTGCCTAGCAACCACCGTCGCCTTTGCTCGTTTGCTTGGCCCGGCGCAGACCCTGCTCCACGGTCTGCTGGTGGCTGCACGCTACTCCGCATCAGTGAGCAAAGCTGTCGTGCTACTCTTTCCACCAGTCAGACCAACACCACGAGCAAGATACATCACACTGCTCTACACAACGTGTTCTGCCGTTGTAGCGGTGTTGCTTCCACGCAGGTTTTAGAATTCCTGTGCGAGTTTTTTTTTTTTCTTTCCGAATTGATCTAGGCTGTGTGGTTATTGGCGAGTGATACCGCTCGATTGTGTGTTTGTGTATTGTGAACTGAACCGCCGTGAAACTTTCCTCGTGTGGAAGATTCTTTGAGTCGCACATGGCCACGCCCTTCCAGCAACAAAGGCCACAGTTGCGTTTCAGCTTATGAAGAAAAAACAACTGTCGACCAAATGCTTCATTTACGAGGGATGGTGTCATCGACAGGCAACTCCGAGGAAGAGTTTCACTCGAAGTGCAGATTCGAAGATAAGCTAGCGAAACGACCACGGGCACATCATGAGTGTGGCATGTAGTCCTGTTGTTGCATGACAAGCATGTCATGATTATCATGTTTGGACATGTACTTTACCTTCATCGTCCATTTACGTCACGCAATACCAAGTTTTGTATATGTGAAGCTATAGCGAAACGGCCACGAGTGCATCATGAGCGTGTTATGTTGTCATGTCCTGCGTGATTTTAAGGTACATGAAAAACAAAAAGATTGACAGATGCTATCTACTTGAAAAACAATCTGTAAGGTGCCCATTTAAGAAGTCCAGGGTGTCAACGTGTATAGACCATCGAGAACCAGTGGCTCTCCGGTGGTCGACGCTGGGGAAAACGCTTTGGGGGAAGAAATAGACGTAAGGGCGTTGTAGCCGTGCACATGCGTGTTCCACGACGATTTGGCGGGATTAGATTTACTGTATATGGCCCCGGGAAACTGCCAACGCTCAGTGTAAGGCAGACATCCCGAGCAAGAGAAGCGCTGACGGCACCGCTACAAGAGACGAAGCCAGCCGCAGTGGGCGAGTAGGTCCTGCACGAGCTTCAACGGAGCGTCCAGCGCGCGTGAAGACAAAAACGTCGGTGCTCGAGGTTCGCGAGGACTACGGACGTTCGGTTCCTTTTTCCAGCTGCTGTGTCATTCCTTTGGCTTTGAGCACAAGTTCGTCCTTATTTAAACTTTTAAAAAATAGGGCATCCTTGTGGTGAGGTTGTAATATCTGCTACAATGCGGCATACCTTGATGGAACTCTGCTACCTTTAGGTAGCAGAGTTGCGCCAAGGTATGCCATTTTGGGTTAGATGTCTTGTGGGAAAGGCACTCACCACCCACGTAGGAGCAGTGATCGCACTTAAGAATACTAGCGTTTCTTTCATTATAAGTTTGTGGTTTGTTTTTTCTCTAATATTTATGAAAGTACGATAAAAACTCAGTTGCTCTGGTCACGCCCGGAAGCCTTGATTTTATGTTGACGTTTTTGCTATGTTATGATGAAAAAGCGTGCGTCTGCTTGTTGAACTAGTGATACGTATGTATATTTATAGTAGGCCACACATTAGCACAGGCTTCTTTTGCGCTGTTTTGTCCCGTTCACTTGCATAAAATTCTTTTTCACTCATGGTCGCGATCGAGGGAGTTAGGGATGAAATATTTTAATGCGTTGGGCTCATTCATTACCTGTGTGAGTTAACCAGCTAAGGCTTTGTAGTCTTCAACTGAATCGAGCTGGATAGCGATGAAGAGTGGCCGTGCGACGCCCGCATTACGCGCGATTTTCGTAACACGCACGTATTATAATCGCGGCTCACGACAATTGATGTGAATCGTTGTTCAACAAACCTGTCGTGACCAACATCCTTTTCATTTGAAGTTTCAAAGTTGCATTCAATTCACGGACTAGCAGCAACACCTTGCTGATTTAAAAAGTGCTAGCTTGAATTCTCCCTTTATTTTTAGCGTTTCAACCGCCAGACCAATTTGAACATATGCAGCTGACACACGCTGGCCAACTCTGCGTGTATAACGTATTAACTACTGCATTTGCTGTTAATACAAATAGAGCAAGTTTTGCAGTGGCCGTGGACAGATTTAAAAAAGAAAGCCAAGTGCATGGACTTCAGCAGAGAATTGTAGTAAGTGCTCTTGCTCTTCTTAAACCGCGATGCAACAATGGTTTGCATCCCACCAAGAGAAAATCCTGCAGACGACAATGGCCAAGCGTTTATTCCTTACCACTGAGCCCTCATCTTTCTATAGCAACACCACCTGCACCAGCGTCCAATCGCCTGGTCTCTACGTAGTACAATTCAACACAGAATTCAACACAGAATGAATTTGATGCCGCATTTCTCGTGACCAACAGGCAGCATGACTAAATTACCGAAGAAGTGTGGCAAGAATGACAACAGCTGTTGTCAGCTCCACTTGGTCTGACCGGAATCCGCGTAGCGTTGGCTTCTCCGGAGTGCAAAGGAACCACCTATGACCACGTGATGGCGCTCGGAGAATAGGGGCTCTGAACTCCTGTAGGCGGTTCGCAGTTCAGTTCAGACTGTCACTGTGGATGGACGTGTTTTTTGAGTGCTCCCAATCGACTGTGCAGATAAGTTGTTTTGCATGTTTTAAGCTTGTCTTTATAATTAAAGGGCAGCAGTTAAAATCCCTCTAGCATTTATTTTATTGTACGGCTTTTTCGGGGTCAGTCACCAGGTGTCTATTAGTTTGTGCGTGTGTGTTAGATTTTTTTTGTTCTTGTTGTTTTTTTCTTTTGCTACTCCGTGGGGGAGGTGCACGTTCATTGAACACGCATTTTTTTTGTAGTAGAGCTTAGACTTTCCCTTTTTGTAGCGCTGGGCTCCAGTTTGTAATTATCGAGTGAGACAAGTCATAGAACAATTGGTGTCGAAAAGACATG